CTCCAACTGTGATGATGAAATTAATGTTCAGCTTCACCTACCTCTTGGTGACTTAATTGTTTGGATTTGCCCTTAATTACAACAGGCTGAAGCAACTCATGCACCAAGTGCAGACAGTCAGCAGTAGGCGTGGCAACGTCCATAACATATGAAAGATATCTGAGGAGCCATGGCAAAAATAATGATTAAACAAAATTACCTACAACAGAAAATATCCATTCATCCGCTGACTGTATTTTGGCACCTTAATTTTGTGTACACATCCGAAACTCCATAATGGGCAGCGAATTCCTTCACTAGCCAAGCCCAATCACCAGTAAGATTCAGTTTTCTTTGTTGAAACTGTTCGATCTTCAGTGCAGTCTCCAGTACACAGTCATATGCAATTGTCTCGGCAACAGACATACACTAGGACGTATAAAATAAAAAGTTATCACTACTTCTTAGTGGAATTAAATTAGAATCTTTGGTAAGAAATAAATACTGGCAAGCTAAGTTAAACCGTCCTGTAACCATAACAAAATCCCATAACCATTTTAATCATACTATCTGGATATGATTAAAATGATTGGAAATAATTTTATTTGGCATTGAGTGGTATGTTTTTTATAATTCGATGGTTCAACGCTTGGAAATATTTTTTACTATCACAAATGAATTTCTCTATAGTGGACATCTATCTAAAAGGGTTCACATATACTAGAAATTGTTCTTNTCACTGTAGTAGACATCTATCTATATATAAAAAGGTTCACATATAATAGAAATTGAGAATAGTCGTCCCGCCTAAAAATTTCGTTACAGTAAGAGAAATTTTCTATCCATTATGATTTACTTTTCTTTTTATTTACTTTTAAGTTTTATCTATATTTAATATCCATATTTTTCCTTTTCTTTCTCATTTTTTTTTATCTAATATCAATATACTTTTAGTTTCAAATATTTACTATTGAAATATTCTGCATGTTAATTAATATGTAATTCGTAAGCTATTAAATGTCATAAATGTGTGGTGCTATGGCAAAGAAACTACATTAAGAATAAAATCGTATTCTCATTTTATACATTTATGATAAATGATTACAATTGTAGCTATGTATTTTTAAATAATCGTTTACTGTTAATCTTGCAAAAATCATTATAGTTATAAAAAAATATCTCGTAAATAAAGTTGATATAATTTATAGAGATGGTATAATTGTAATTATAATTTTTTCCAATTAATGGATTGTGAAAATCAAATCAATTAATAAAGATATTATAAAGATTTTTCCAAAAAATATCGACATTTGTTAAAAAGGAAATAAGAATAAAAAGGTAAAAAATTATGGCTATGGTATTTTCTCTTTATTGTAACAACAAAAAGTTGGCAAAAATTTTCACATATATAATAAATGCTTAACCTTTATATATGTGCTAGTATGTATCCATGATTCCAGGTGATACACAAAAACACAATATTATTATTATGGTAAAGTTTATAAATTATATGAGTAAATAACACAAAATATAGTTTCTCATTTAAAAGTGAGTTTATTTTATTTGTTCGACCTATGAAGATTGTGGACTTTGTGTGAGACATACTTATTTATTCGCTGCACTCCTTTTGGAAAAAAAAAAATGATAAACAAAAAATTATTAGACAGATTCAATGGATGGTTAGAAAATTATCTCAGTTTCTTAATACGTTTACAGAGTAATTCAAGCCTATAATTTTCTACATCATGGAAATATTATATTCATTTCGCGGTGGACGCAATTATAACGGTTGGTTATGCTATTATATAATGAATCTAATAATTAATTTTGAAAGAAAGAAAAAATTATTCCTTTATTTATATGATGTATACTTTGTATATGCAATTATTTATATGAATTGTTAAATTAAATTAATACTCACATAT